GTTTGGATAACAGAAATATTCGGAATATTCGAATATACAAGAGAATAATTTCGGATATTAGAATAGATATTCGCACAATGAGGGTTCATACATGGAAAGCTCTACTGTATGTGAAAATGTTCTCTTAGGTAGTGTAACATAAAATATATTACACGATATATACAGTAAAAAAGTATATATCATACTTTTATATATACATACATATATAAAATATACCTGACAATGATGTGTAGCGACAAATTAATGCAGGTAAATTCGTCTGATGATGCAGTGGTTCAGGACAAAGCGTGTATATGTTTTAAAAACTTTTAATTCAAAAAGAAATATCGTTAGACGATACCTGTTAGAAAGGACGTATACTTTTTCCGATCTTCTCTGTAATTGACTTCTTAAGTGAATCAATTCCCACAGGAAATGAGATTCCATATCTTTGGCGGAACTAGCTCTAACTTGTACTTCCGTTACAGGAATCAATACTTGATAGCGAATTATTTCTACCTCGCTGGAATTTACTTTGGTGGACACGCCCTGATCAAAATATATCAAATTTATCGTGTGCTTGTAAAACATATGTACATATGTTCAATAATAATAAATTTACACATCATTCTTGTAAGATGAAAAAGGGACCAAAAAAAAACTTACCATAAGCTTCTTCTTTTGTCTCAATCTTTCCTTACATAAGAATACAACAGCTGATTTGAAAACAAAACACATTGCATGTAGTTCCAAGCCTTTCTTGATTTTACCAAGGAAGTCGGAAATATTGAGCCATTCGACTCCCCCATAATATAAAAGATCTCCCGGGCTTAAGTCGATCGGCTGGTAAAAACGTCATCATTATGAGAAATCACGTAGAGAATGCAAAATATTGAATGTAAAATCAGAAAACAAATATATTATTAAATATTTATCCTGATTTACTTACTTGTTTGCAAGATTTTTGATGTTGTCTGAATAAGTGATCGAAAATAGCTCCGTATTCTTCATGAATTCTTTGCATTTCGTTTATGTGTTCTGCCACTTTCTCCATACCTTTTAAAGCTTCTGTGTAATTGTAATAAACAGATAATATTAATTTAACATGATTATGTATGTATTTATGTAAAGGCAAACATATATAATGATTTTTTTTTTTTTTTGATTTACCAATCAAATGCTGGTGTT